GTCTGGCTGTGGTTTGTTGGGTCCATGTCGTCGGCGGGAGTGTTGGGTGCCGGCCTGGCAAACCTCGGTAGTTGTCACACAAGGCGGTTTTGGGTGCCACCGCGACACCCGGGGGTGGAGCGTTTCTTTCAGAACGGGCGACACTCTGTGGCTGTGGCTGGAGGCCGTCGTCTGGTTGCAGAGAGAGCCCTGGCTCCTCCGCGGTGAGGGCCAAGGGTGGCTGCAGGGAGTGCGGGGCCAGGGAAGTCAAGACGGGGCCTGGGCGGTGATCAATTCCGGGTGCGGCCCACACACCCAGGGATGGTAAGCTGTAGCCAGGCTGTCTGTCCTTCCGTTGTGGGCCTGGACGCCAACAAGGGCCATGGTGTGATCGTGGCTGCCTGGGTCTAAGGCACAGGCCCAGGCTCGGGGGAAAACAGGGTGCGGCCCACACACCCTGCTGGTTCCCACCCTGCCAGGCTCCTTGACCCTCTGGGAGAGGTTGGTGCATCTCGGTGTCCTGCAGGGTCGCACCTCGGGGCCCCACACGATGGCATGGGGTCGGTGAGAGAGGGAGGCCTTGTTGTTGGGTGGAAATCAGGCCACAGGGCATGTCCCTGGGTGTCCCCCGTCCTCTTGCGAGGGTCATGTCCATCAGATGTCAAGGGGTGTTTTGGTCCATGCCGGGAGGCCTTTGGGGCGCCAGCCTTTCAAGCCTCGCCTTCGTCCTGACCCAGCTGTGGTCTGACTGTTGGTTGCCGTGCTCGAACGTCCAGCGTTTGGAGGCCGTGGCTGGGGCTGGGGGATGTTGTCCGGTGGTAGAGTGAGCCGGGGGACTCCTCCCTGGTGAAGGCTAGGGCTCTCTGCCGGGAGGCCAGGACTAGGGAAGTCAAGACAGTCCCAGGGTGGTGATCAAGTCCGGGTGCGGCCCACACACCCGGGATGTTAAGCTCTGTTCAGGCTGTCTGTCCTTCGGGGGGGGGCCCCGGCGGCCACCAACGAGGCCCGTGGGGTGTTGTCCAGTGGTGGAGTGAGCCGGGGGACTCCTCCCTGGTGAAGGCTAGGGTTGGCTGCGGGGAGGCTGGGACTAGGGAAGTCAAGACAGTACCAGGGTGGTGATCAAGTCCCGGTGCAGCCCACACACCCGTGATGTTAAGCTCTGTTCAGGCTGTCTGTCCTTCGGGGTGGGCCCGGGCGGGCGCCACCGAGGCCCGCGGCTAATCCATGCCGGCTCTCTGCATCTCAGGACCCTGCCCGGCCTCAGGTGTACTCAGGGTGCGGCCCACACACCCTGCTGTTTCTCACCCTGCCAGGCTACTCCTTCATCCAGGAGAGGGGAAATCTTGGCATCCTGCAGGAGCGTTCCACCGGGGTTGTCAAGCTCTCCCCCAGGTGTCTGTCCTTCTCGGCATGGGCCCAGACACCGTCATGGGCCGTGGTGTGATCCTGGCCCCCTGGACCACAGCAGCTGGCCTGGGACGGGGTGGACGTCCCAGGGCTCGGACCACACTGAACTGCCTCTTCTCACCATGCCAGGCTTCTCCTTCATCCATCAGACGTTGGGAGAACTGGGCGTCCTGCAGGATCTAGCGTTCGCCTCCCACTCCATTGAGTGGTGTTATTTGGAGCTGGGGGGCGGGTTAAAGGCAGGTAGAAAAGGGGCCCCAAGGCAGGGTCCCTCTTTGTCTGTCCGGTGTCCCTGTCTGGCCAGCGACTGTGGTACCAGGTGGTGGTGCAGGTGTTTTGGTCCCCGTGTAGACGGCTCTGTCTGTGTCTTCTTGGGTGGGCCCGGGCTCCTTCTCCTGGTTCCTGGGCCCTCTTCTCTCCTTTCAGGCTCGCGTTCTTCAGGCTTTTCGTTTCTTTCTTTCTTTGGTTTGGTTTGGTTTTTTGTTCTTTTTTGTTCTTTTTGTTTTTTTTTTCTTCTTTTCTGTCTTTTTCTTTTCTTTTGTGGCCCTGGCTGCAGCTGGGTCAGGGATGAGCCCAGGCAGATTGCTCCTCATTGTAGGGCCCAGGCACCTTTCTTTGTGGTTTAGCCTGGGCCCTCGTCGACTGATGCGGGGCCCGGACTGTGTTCCGTTGAGGGGACTTGCCTGTGGTCAGGGATGGGCCCAGGCTGTTTGCAGCACTTTGTGGGGCCCAGGCTCTGTCTGCCAACTTTTTGCCTGGGCCCAGATCCATCGAGGTTCGGCCTGGGCTCCGTCGCCTTGTTCGGGACTTCGTGGGGAAAATGTCTGTGTCTTCCTGGGTGGACCCAGGTTCCTTTTTTGGAGGCTTTTGCCTGTTCCCTTTGGGTTTGTCTGCAGGGTGACTTTGCCTCTTTTAATTTTTTCAGGGGCTGCTGTTGGGTCACGGATGAGTCCAGGTTGTTTGCCCCTCATTCTGTCCGGCCCAGGCTTCTCCCTTTGGACTTTTCAGCCTGGGCCCTTGGTCCACTGATGCGGAGCCCGGGCTCTGTTCCCTGGACAGGGGTTGCTTGGGGTTGGTCGGTCGGGCATGGGCCCGGGCTTTTTGCTCCAGGTCATAGGGCCCTGGCTTCTATCTTGTGCCTCTTTGCCTGGCCTTGTCCCATCCGGCTGTGGTCTGGCTGTTGGTTGCTGTGCTCAAACCTCCAGCGTTTGTAGGCCAGTGCTGGGTCTGGGGGATGTTGTCCAGTGGTGGAGTGAGCCAGGGGTCTCCTCCCTGGTGAAGGCTAGAGTTGCCTGACAGGAGGCTGGGACTAGGGAAGTCAAGACAGTACCAGGGTGGTGATCAAGCGTGGGCCCTTGATCTACTTATGGGGAGTCTAGGCTCTGTTCCCTGGATTGGGGTGTCTTGAGGTAGGTTCCGGATGTACTGTGTCTTTCTCGGTGGCCGTAGGTTCCTTTTTTGGAGTTTTTTCTCTGGCCCTTTGCTCCCTGGGGCCTGGGAAGTCAGGATAGGCCCTGGAATTGAATCAAGGCAGCGTGTGACTCACACACAATGTATGGTAGTCTATAGCCAGGCTGTCTCTCCTTCCGTGTTCAACCTAAACAGCAACAAGTGCCCTGGTATTGTTTTGCTTTCCTGGGACTAAGGAACCAGCCTGGCCTCAGGAGAAAACAATGTGCAGCCCACACACTAGGGTATTAAGCTCCACACAGACTGTCTGTCCTTTCTATTAGCCTGTGGCTGGCCGCCCAAGAGGCCCTTGGTTTAAAGAATCCTGGCTCCCTGCATTAGGACCTAACCTGGCCTGGGTTCTCAGCTTGGAGAGGCCCCCACATTCTCCTCAATCTGTAGAATTATATTAAAGACTTTACTTTCAACGCTGTCTCTTCACCATTATTAAACTCCAACCTTGTGTTGTTACATGGTCTGTAGCTCAGTTTTTACTTACTTTGTATGCCAGAATGCTTGATTGATCACCAATATGCCTTTAAGGGAGATAGATGACATTATGTTCATATTGAAAGAGAGAGAGAGAAAGATAGGTAGGGAGAGAGAGAGAGAGATCAGTAAATAGATTATTATATAGAAAGCTGAATAGTTAGGTTTATACAGAATAGATGGATGGGTATGTAATGGATATTAGATAGATGAATGGATAGCAGATGATGAATAGATACATAGATATGTAATACATGGATAGCCCAATGATGGATGATAGACAAATAGATAATAAATAATAGAGAGGTAGGTAGGTGATAGAGTGAATAAGGTTTCATGACAGAATGTCTTAGACAGACAGTGTCAAGAACAGAGCTTAATCCATGGTTACACAGATCCTCCTAACCCTCTCTCCCTGGAATCTGGGATCTTCTCCTTGTTTCTCTGAATGACTCACCCATGTGCAGCAATCCTTCTGGTCGCTGCCATTTCCACCTCTTCTTACAGTGACAGCTGCCATGTAATTAGATGAGGGATACCTCAAGAACCACATTGTGTCTGCCTCAGTCATCTCCATCAAGGTCTTTGTCTCAAAGTACATCACACTAATGGTCAGTGAGGCATTTAGTCCAAGAATATGGGGTAGAGCCAATCCTCACCACCACCCAAATGTCCCTGCCCACCCCAGGGGTCCCTCTGATGCCCTCTGTCCAAGGCCTTTCATTACCATAGCAGTTACCCTTCTATGAAGTCACAGAACTCTTACCTCACTGTAATCAGGCCCTGAAAAGGTCATCCAGGCCCTCAGGTTCCTCCACTCCTGGTGGATTCTTGCTCCCAGCAGACCTGGTCATCAGAGCTGCTTTAGGGGAGTGGGCAGAGGCTTGTTTCAGAGACACTCACCTGGGAACCACCTCATGTCCAGTCCTCTTTCTCCAGGGAGGGACCTTCATCCCTGGGAGGAGGAATATAGAAGGTGATGCTCCTACCTTGTCTGAAGTGTCTGAGTCTCAAACACTGCATATCATTTCCTCTGCTCGTTTTTCCATCACGGATTTCTCATCACTATGCTTATAGGGGCCCACGTCCTGCTCCTGTGGTTAAGCATAACAGAGATTGAAGACTGATTTCCTGCCTGTCCCCACACCACCATTAAACCCTACAGTTGAGTGTGATGTGGCTCTGTAGAACTGTGCTTGCCTAGCATTGTAGAATGCTGGGTTTCATCACCAAGATATCATTAATGGAGACAGAATGAAAGATGATTATGTAGATAAATAGATAGGTAGATAGAAAGATAGATAATGAGTAGATAGTGGACGATATAGATAGGTGATGTTTATGTAGAGAGATATTAGATAAATAGATATAGATGATAGACAGATTAGATAGATGGCTGCATCGATAGATAAATAGATGGATAGATGATAGATAGATAGATAGATAGATACAAAGATAGTTAAATTGTAGATGAATAGATACTGGATGATACAGATTCATGCTGGTTAGGTAGAGAGATGATAGATAATGATGCTGGTTAGGTAGAGAGATGATAGATCAATAGATATAGAGAGGCCGGGCGTGGTGGCGCATGGCTGTAGTCCCAGCAGTTGAGAGGCAGAGGCAGGCAGATCTCTGTGAGTTCAAGGCCAGCCTGGTCTACATAGTGAGTTCCAGGACAGCTGGGGCTTACAGGGAGACACTGCTTCAAAAAGACCAAAAAGAAAAAGATATAGATAGATGATAGACAGATAGATTTAGATAGATGATAGATAGATTTAGATAGATGATAGATTTAGATAGATAGATAGATAGATAGATAGATAGATAGATAGATAGATAGATAGATAGATAGATAGATAGATAGATAGATAGATAGATAGATAGATAGATAGATAGATAGATAGATAGATAGATAGATAGATAGATAGATGATTAGATAGACAGGTAGAATAGGTATATAGGAAGATAGTTGATAGATTGTAGACACAAAGATACTAAGTAGATAGATGACAGATGATAGACAAATATTTGGTAGATTAAAGGGTAGGTAGGTGACAGAGAATAAAGTTTTTATGACAGAATATCATGGACAGACCAAGTTAACAGCAGATCTTCATCCACGGCCACACAGGTGCTCCTAAGGCCTCTCTTCCTGCAATCTGGCATCTTCTTGTGTCCTTGCATGACTGTGCCTTGCATGACTGTCCCTGGTGCAGCCATCCCTCTGGTCCCCACCCTTTCCGCCTCTTACAGTGACATCTGCCATGTAATTAGATGAGGGATACCTCAAGGACCACATTGTGTCCTCTTCAGTCATCTCCATCGAAGTCCTTATCTCCAACTACATCACACTAGTGGTAAATCAGGTCTTTAGTCCAAGAATATGGGGTACAGCCAATCCTCACCACCACCCAAATGTCCCTGCACACCCCAGGGGCCCCTCTGATGCCCTCTGTCCAAGGCCTTTCATTACCATAGCAGTTACCCTTCTATGAAGTCACAGAACTCTGACCTCAATGTAATAAGGCCCGAAAAGGTCATCCAGGCCCTCAGGTTCCTCCACTCCTGGTGGATTCTTGCTCCCAGCAGACCTGGTCATCAGAGCTGCTTTATGGGAGTGGGCAGAGTCTTGTTTCAGAGACACTCACCTGGGAACCACCTCATGTCCAGTCTTCTTTCTCCTGGGAGGGACCTTCATCCCTGGGGGGAGGAGCATAGAAGGTGATGCTCCTACCTTATCTGAAGTGTCCGAGTCTCAAACACTGCATATAATTTCCTCTGCTCGTTTTTCCATCAGGGATTTCTAGTCATTATGCCTGCAGGGGGGCATGTCCTGCTCCTGGGGTTAAAGACTTTGGTTTCCGGCTGTCCCCTAACCGCCATTAAACCCCAAGCTTGAGTTGTGGTGTTGCTCCTTCCCTCCCTCCTTCCCTCCCTCCCTTCCTCCCTCCTTCCCTGCCTTCCTCCCTCCCTCCTTCCCTCCCTCCCTCCCTTCTTCCCTCCCTTGGGACAGCTGAGGCACAGTATTGGCACTTTGAGCCTGGCTGGTAGCAAAGCACTCTAAGGACGAGCTAGGCCACTGAGAGGTGTCTTCATGCTCCACAGCTGCGTACTGTGTGAATCGGTAGTGGGCAGAAGAGCCAGGCCCTGCCAGGCCTCCGTGACCATGCCATGCTCCCCTGCTTCCCTTCCCCCTGGGCTGGCAGGTGGCCACACTGCCTTCTTTCTACCTTCAGATCAGCTGGGAGGAACTGAGCCTCTTCCACTGCACACACTGTATCTAGCCCACTGACACTCGTGCCCTGTCCTTAGGGCTGCTCTCTGGGCACATTTGGAAATTGCCTTTTGGGCCTCTATCAAGTATATGTTGGACTTGATGAGGTTCACTTCCTGGTGGCATGAATGCGCTATTGGTCTGAGACCCCTCCAATCTCAGGCTTGCCTAGTGTTAACTGACTGCTTCTGAAGTGACTCCTCCTCCATGTCCCCCCTGGTGCTGTTGGTGCAGAAGGGCAGCCTGTTTGTTTCCTCACAGATGGAGGAAGACTATTGAGAAATACAAATTGCATTTCCCATTTGGGAGGCATGCAGAATGGGCTGCATTTTAGAAAGTCTAGCAAGAGTTTTCTGGGCTGTGGAGGAATTTGGAAAGAGGGAGAAATTGGGGAATAGATCTCAGAGCTGTGTGTAAGGCAGGTGGTTGCAAAGAAGCAGCATAGGGAATTGGTATCAAAAGTCCTCGCATGACCAGCATCTCCCTCATTGAAGTTGCCCAAGCCTCACTTTCCCTGTCTGTGAAGTGTGGATGGTGGTTCTCAGTGCTATGTGGCCCTGATGTGACAAAACATACCTTTCCAGCTTCTTAGCTGCTAAGAGCTGAAGCTACACCTGCCCCTCACTCATGTAGCACTCTGCAGCTGGCCCTGGGTCCTGGGAGAACAGATGTGGAGATAACTACACAGAGCAGCTGGGGACCAGAGACCTCTGGAGACAGTGAACCCTTCTCCTGGGAAAGGATCCCTCACTTCCCCTCCCTTGGTTCAGGGGCTCCTGTTGTCAAAGGCGGCATTGTCTTTCTGCCACCTGAGAGCAGAGCAGGGCTGTGGGCTCAGCGTCTGCAGCCCTCTGACCTGGCATTGGCCCTTCAGACAGTCAAGCAGGGACCCCGTGCCCAGCATCGCTGAGTGGCAAAGCAAACACCTTTCCTCCCACTTCAGCATGCATCCCTCCTAGAAAGAGGCTGTGTCCTCCCTAACTGCCCCACCCTGGAGTAAGAGCTGCCATTCGTGTCCTGCAAGTCAGAAATTATTTGCCCATCAGTATGCACAATGGGAAGAGAACAGACATCATCTGCACAGGTAACACTTTCATCTGCAGCCTTACCCACCACCTGATAGTGGACCCTTCTAGGTATCCACTACATGACAGATGCTTGTAGGATGCAGATACAGCATCCACATTTGGGCAGGGCCTTTTCCATGACTTCTTGATGCAGAAGGGCTGAAGACTGGATGCTACCTAGGACCCTGAGGGTGATCAGCATCCCTTCCTGCCCCCAGCATCCTCAGAACCAATGTGCCTACATTCTTACCTCACTCATCAGGGGTGTAGCCATGTGTTCCAGGTCAACTTTAGGTGCTTCTAGTCAGGACTGCATCTTAGCAGTACTCTCCAGCAAGGCCATGGATGTGGACTGAGCCAACTGTCACCAACCTGGCAGATGGAAGCTGGCTGCTCTTCTGGGTTTTGCTTTCAGTACTCTGACCCTTCCACACTCCTCTCGGGAGTCTTTTTCAAAAACAAGCTTGGCTGCAATTACAAAAACACGCCCACTGTGTCATGTAGAAGAGAATGTGGAGGAATAGAAGGATGGAGCCTTAGAGACCTCAGGGATGGATCCAAGGGTGACAGAACCCCCTTCTCTCCAGCTGAGGGTCTTGTAGCATCACTGTTTCTCCCCATTATGCCGCTGTGTGTCTGTCTTGCTTTCGTCCCTTTCCCAATTTGAGTGATGTGGTGTGATACATCTAATGACAAGCAGAACAAATTCTGGTGATGAGGTCACCTTGGGCCCGAGTTATGTCTGACTATTGTCTTCCATAGAATCAGCTGTGAATTCATGTCACATGCTCAGAACCACATCTGTCCTCTTCCAAGTGTGCGTGTTGATGGGCAAATAAGTTCCAACTTGCCAGACAGGAACGATGTGGTCCAACCTCTCTAGTTAGGCTACAAATTGGCCTGTGATTAGGCAGCTTCTGTTTTTGTGGCAGAGGAAAGACAGGCTGCGGTTGAGTGACTCTGCTGCATTTGCACAGAGCTTGTGGAGTGATTTAAACACAAGGAGAAATCCAAACACCTTATGCTATTATGTTTTTCTAAAGGGAGGGCTTAACGAGGGCTTGCCACATTCCCAAAGTCATGGGAGGGATTTTGATGGGTGGCAACTGGCTGACAAAGCTCATAGTGAGAAGGGAAACTCTAAGGACATTGGTGGGAGGGGAGGACTCAAAAATATGAGAGTTGTGCCTTCCTTGCTTCACATCCACCCACAGGGACCAAAGTCTGCAGGTGCCCAAGTCAGTGAGTCAAGCGACACAGTGTCTGTGTGACTTGTGCACATCCTGTCTGTATGTCATCCATGCACATCCTCCCATATTTCACATCATCTCCAGGTGATGGAGAACATCTAATGCAATGCAAGTACTGTGGGGACCTAAAGGCCCCACCTTGCAGAGGTCCGAGAGTTGCTGGGGCGTGGCCTGACTTGTTTGAAAAGTCTGAAGGATACTTCCGCACTGCTGAGGAGTGCATGATCAATGCATGACCATCCTTAAGATACACCCTCGGTGGGGAGGGGGGATTTCCAGGTGCCTTTATAAGCTCTGTAACATCTGCAATAAATGAGTCCCTGCTTGACTAGGCTCCCCGTTGTGCCTGAGTGTTCCCGGTACTGGGGGCAGCATGGGCTGGTGAACGGCGTGCTTACTCATCCCTAATCATCATTACGTCGGGGTTGCTGGATCGAACCCCCGGCAAAGTGCTGTGCAGTTACTTGTTATACTTCGTACCTTAGTGGTGATAAGAAAGACGTCTCCATGTGTTTGCTCAGTGCAGACACACTGCTTTTCTAATTTTTTTTCCGTTTTCGTTGTGTGCGTGTTGTATGCATATTTTTGTATGTATATGTGAATGTGGGTGCATATGTGTGCACATGTGTGTGGAGGCCCAAGATTGGGGGTAACCTTAGATGTGCTCCACATTACTCATTGAGGCGGGGTCTCTCAATCAAACCCAGACCTCACCCAGCTCTTGCTAGCCTGCTTGCTCTGTGGATGCCCCGTGTCTGCCCTCCAAGGTGAGAATTACAGGAAGACAGCCACACCTTCCTGGCCTTTATGTGGGTTCTGTGGATCCAAACTCCAGTCTTCAACACTTGCATGACAAACACTTTAACCACTGAACCATATCCCCAGCCCTTTTACTAATATTTTTCTCTGCCGTTAGTTGAATCATTGGCTCAAGACCTGTGCTGGTTACTTTTTTGTCACAAACTAGAGTCACCTGGGAAGAGGAACTTCAAATGAGGAATTTCTTCCCCTAGATTGACCTGTGGGCGTGTCTTTGGGGTATTTTCTTGATTGCTGATTGATGTAGGAGGGCCCAGCCCACTGTGGGCAGTGCCATTCCTGAGCAGGTGGCCTGGGCTGTATAGGAAGGCTAACTAAGTAAACTGGGGGAAGCAAGTCAGTGAACAGCAGTCCTTCGTGTTCTCTGCTTCAGTTCCCGTTTCAGGTTCCTGCCTTGAGTTTCTGCCTTTGCTTCCCTCAGTGATAGCCTGTAACCTGTGAGCCGAAATAAACCCTTTGCTCCCCAAGTTGCTTTCAGTGGGCACATTATCACAGCAATAGAGGCAAATTAGTACAGACCTCCTGATGGAGTGGCCTGAGGGTTGTGTGAACACTGGATGAGGGGTGTAAAGGCCTCAGCACAGAGGGCTCTAGGGCTGAGGAGGAGGGTGACAGAACAAGAGGAGGCCCCAGAAGTAGCTGTGAGTGCCCAGAAGGCCACATAGCACGTGGCCACCAAAGGCTCTTTAGAAGGGTGCCTGATGAAGTCATATGGGACCTGGAGGGCAGGATTCTGTTGGGGAGGGGAGGGTTACAGCTCCGGGAAGAGGACAGAGTGAGCAATGTGGTCCCCGGCTGCTGGTGAAGATGAGCAAATGTGTTGGCAGGCAGTGAGAAGTCCCAAAGCTACAGTCACAGAAGGAACATCAGTGTTTCATGTGGGGTCTGTAGGCAGTGCAGAGAGGCCCTGGCATCCTCTTGAGGTCCAAGGAGTGCCAGACAGACAGGGTGGCCCTATCCAGGTGGGGTAGATGAGAAGTCATCTAGACAGGTGATACCTCTCTAACTGATCATCATCATCATCATCTGGACACATCTAAGTAACAGGACAGTTAGATGAGGGTACCATGCTGCTGATAAACCACCACAGGGAGTAAAACATCACCATTTGTGCTCGGCTGGCCATGCTCAGGTAGACATGTTCATCTCCCAGACACCCAGGGCCCACTAGTCAGAAGGAAATAACTGCTTAAGAGAACGTCGCATCTCAGTGTGTCTCCTTGTGAGGCTGGGGAGGTCCCTGTGCTGTTGCTCAGAGCACTGTACACACCCAGGCCACACGTGAGGCTGGTGGACCTCACTTTTGTTCAAAAAACTGCCACTAGCCATGACCGTGAACTCATCATAGCCCAGCATCATACGTGGAATGGAAGGGAGCCATAGTGCAAGGGTCATGTCAGCTGGTGGCTGCATTTGGACACACAAGTATGTGGGCACATGCATGTGCTCATGCACACAGCCACATGTCCCTCAGGGGCATTCAGCTGGCTGAGCTATCCCCATGGTGCTGGGATCTCTCAGGCTGTGCTACCATGTGTGGCTAGAGGGCTTTGTCTCTCCTGTGAGTAGACAAGTGTACCAATAGGCCATGCAGAATGATCTAGAAGCTCTGTGAAAGCATGATGAGCATCCCTTCATCTTCTTTATAATTCTGCTTGGACAGAATCCCAAATTGCACAGTGTGCTTGGCACAGTTGCAGAAACATCCCAGTGACATGACAGGCTTTTCTTCATTTCCAATTTTCTACCAAGTTATCAAAAGCAGGTGGCCATTAAACTTTATAAAGCTTTCTGGAAGCTCTTTCTATCCTTGGGGAAATATACTGTGTTAATAATCTAACATGGCACAACAAACTTCCCAAGGACTTCCCAGCTTAAAACAACAGGCATCTATCACCGCCAATCCATGGTAGGAAGTCCGGCAGCTGCTCAGTCAGATGGTTGGCACAGTGTCTCTGATGAGGCTATGGTCCTGCTGCCTGGGCTATGATCTCATCTGATAGCTACAGTGGAGCTGAAGGGCAGGTCCAAGAGGACACACACACAGGATTCTCAATCAAAGGCTTTGGCTCTTCACTCTGCAAACCTCTTCTGAGGGATCCTGGTGACAAGCAGCTGGCTTCTCATGAGTAAGTGGTCCAAGAAAGAAAGGAATCTAGCGGGACTCTCCAGGTGCATAGCTACAGTGGAGCCGAAGGGCATGTCCAAGAGGACACACACACAGGACTCTCAATCAAAGGCTTTGGCTCTTCACTTTGCAAACCTCTTCTGAGGGACCCTAGTGACAAGCAGCTGGCTTCTCATGAGTAAGTGGTCCAAGAAAGAAAGGAATCTAGCAGGACTCTCCAGGTGCTGAATGAACTAGCCTCTTCCATCTCATTCTTCCCAGTAGACACAAGTCCCAAAGTCCAGTGCAGCACTGGACTTGAGAAGAGGAGAACTCAGTGCACGTCTCAAAGGGAGCAGTAGCAAACTCACTGTGGACATTTGGGGTCCTGCTGCCTCAGCATCACCATTACCACCACCATAGCCATGTTTACTGTCATCCTCATAGCTGGCAGCAGCAGCAGCATTACTGTCATTATCACCATTATTTTCATCTTTTCCCTCGTTATCTTCTTCATCATCACCAGCATCGCTGTCGCCATCATTATCATCCTGTTTATGCTGTTATGCATGTCAGTATCACCATTACCATCATTCTTTCTTTTCTACCAGCATTACCAACATCAGTGTCACCATCATCATCATCTTCATCTCCACAGTCATCACCATCTTTACCACCACTGTCATTGTCACCATTGTCATTATCATAACTGTTGCTACTACCATAACCATGGAAATTGTCAGTTGTTGAGAGTTATAAACTGGTGCTTTTTTTCTAGAAAAAAACTGTGGAGTAAAGATAATATTCTCTAAACTACTTTCTAAATGTTATAGCTTTTGGGGGATGTCTATAAAGCCTTTAAAATATTTTTCTTTTGCTATTTTTATCCATGCAGCAGACTTTCATTAGTCACTTACTGTATACAGGGTGCCGTAACAGATTCTGATTTTGCTAGGGACAAGAAACAGTCTCTTCTACCCAGGGACCCCACCTAAGTATGATGCCTGGCACTCCAAGCTCATATTCTATTCTACAAGTGAGCTAGCAAGTCCGTGTCCTTCCCCGTGATGCTGATGCCTTACATAGTCCTACAGAGGTCCAAGTGAGGTCTTGAGGATCATTTCTCAGTGATGCTTAGCCTCATGCGGGGCCTGGGGAGGGGGCTGTTAGAACAGGCAGTCCAGGCCAGATCTTCGTCCAGTAAAGGAGGAACCGCAACTCTGGGTATTTCAAGAAAGATTTAACGACGTATGGGAGACCAGGACTGAACGAAAAGGAAAACGTGAATGAGCACCAGTGTTCGTCCCACTACTTCCGGAGTGAGGACTCAGTGTGACCTCATGCTCTAATGGTCATGGTTTCCTCAACAACATGGGCTCCACCCTCACACTGTGGTCCAAAATTGCTCTTCCTTGAGTTTCTTTTTTCAGACATTTTGTCACAGAAACCAGAAAAGTTGCCAGCCACAAAAATCCCATTAACTCCCAGATGTGTCCATCCCTCCTTGCTGCCTCAGCTTTAACTCTTAGCTGAGTAGCCATCAGTGCTTGTGGAGAGAATTATTTCTTATTCCCACACAGCCTCAGACTCTCGAAAGTGTAACTAGAGAACGTGATGTCTCACTAGAAGCTTCTCACCCACACCTGGGCCCCGCCTCTTGCTCTGGCTGTCCTGCTCACAGCCCATTCTAGGTCCACATCCCTCCGCTCCTGGAAGACACTGGAATCATCAACATTGGGCTTCCTGCCCACTGGCCTCCACCTGCAAGCGTAAGCCCAGATCTGCCTTGGTGGCTTTTTCAGTGGGCCTTCAGCCCTTATATCCCTCAGGAGGCCTTTCTGAGCTCTCAGTCTCAAACCCCCAGAACTAACTTGGGTATGCAATGCCAAGCCTGTATCAAGTTCTGAGATTATCTCATTCATGTATTGATCTTCCAGATTAGATCAGTTCTAGGTTGGATGGCAGATGGTGAACTCCTCCGTGCAGCTCCATGCAGCACTGTGCAGGCCTGGGGGTGTCAACTGAATGCACCATGAACTAGCTAACTAGTCGCTTACATATATGACTACTTCGTCTGCTTTGTTCTCGCCCCTGTTCATACTGCTGTTAATTGAGTGACTGTGTCCCTTGCTCTGTTCACAACTGCATGTGGCTTTGGAATTTGGTGAGATTAACAATTCTGCATATCAGCCACCTTTGTTAGTGAGCTTTTATTTGATCCCAATAATTTCTCTCACCCTGAGTTTGGCTTTGGTGACTCTGTGACTTAAGCAGAAGTGTTTATTTTCCCTAATAACTTAATAAAATGTTCCCACCCCATACAGCCAGAGTTTAATATAAACAAGAGTGAATAATAATAAGCTCAGATACATTTTAAAATATCATTTCATTTTTTTAAATT